TTTTTTTTTCCTTTTTGTCTTTTTCCATGTCCGGCAACGGATCGCAACCCTCAGTGTTGCCCCCGTACCGGACCGGGACCAGCAACGGGATCGCAACCCTCGGTGTTGCTCCTGCGCCTCGCTCAGCCAGTGAGTGGGAACCGGTCTGTATGTGGGATCCGAACCCTCAGCGGGAGCGCCACCACGCTCCCAAGCGGCGCACTATAGCAGTGCGCCACCGGGCCGGCCCCTAAAGATATGTTTTTATATTTCAAAAAATAACTTGAACAGAGCCAAGTATGCCCCCCATCAAATGAATGACTTAGCTGGAATTATAGTGAGATCCTAATGTTCAGCTATGATACCCGAACCCTCAGCGGGAGCGCCACCACGCTCCCAGCGGCGCACTATAGCAGTGCGCCACCGGGCCGGCCCCTAAAGATATGTTTTTATATTTCAAAAAATAACTTGAACAGAGCCAAGTATACCCCCCATCAAATGAATGACTTAGCTGGAATTATAGTGAGATCCTAATGTTCAGCTATGATTCACCTATTTACATATTTTAGTTAAAGGGGGAAAGTAAACAGCTGTTAGGATGAAAATGCCACTTACAAACTTGTTGAGTTAGTAAAGGCCCTTTGCACTAATAACAATTCAATAAAATAATAAAATAAAATAAATAAATAAATAAAATAATAAAATAAAATAAATAAAATAAAATAAAAATTTCAAATAAAAACAGTAAAAAAAATAGTTCTGAATGGGCTGTGATTATACTTATACCCAGATACTGTTTAGATTTTTATCAGGTAGAGTAGTGGCAATGATAAAATAAATGCCAAATATTTAAAAGGTCATTTCATATAATCACGCATATTAGCTCTTCACTGGTCTTTTTTACCTCCTTAGTTCATTATTTCCAAAAAGCAAATGAAAATTCTGGAACTAAATAACATAGTATCTGAAATTACAAACTCAATGACTGGGTTTAACAGCAGATCAGACACAGCAGAGGGCAGGACTGGTAAACCAGAAGACAGGACAATAGAAAATGTCTAAACTGAACCTAATAATTTTTTCTTCCAGTAAGTAAAAGTGCCTTACAAAACATATTTTTTAAAGAATTAGTTCTAAAACTCTGAAAACCATAAAGAAAACATGTTTTCAACCAAACTTCTTAAATTGTTTTAGGTTACTCACAATTGATATTTGCTGTGATATCTCATTAAACTATAGCTATTCCAAATGCTGTCAAAAATACAGAAAACGCCAAAGTCACTTGGAAACACTTCATAAGTCATCACCTAGTGCCTGGGCTAGCATATTCTCTTCAACTATACATTCTGAATATGAGGATGCCTATCTGTGTGCTTCCCTTGTATAACAAACATTCATTGAGTAATAATCATTTTTCCTGAATCAAGGAATCAACATGAGCAGAGGCAGAAAAGACAGACAGGCCTAGCCTAAAATTCAGGCTGACTTGGGATATGGGAGAAGATGCAGCTGAAGAGGAAAAGAAGATGTCACCCACAGAAGACCTGCCATGCCAGGTAATGAAAAACCTCTTTTCTGACTACAGAAAATTGGTACTGTGACAGCACACATACAATGCACACTCCCTTAAATAACACCTCGCATTATACACAAAGATCATCAGTGAAGAATTAGGCCCCAACAAGTGCAGGGGACATGCTAATGGGTAAAGGAGGTGTGCTCTTTGAAATCCTTTGCCCTACTCAACCCTACAATCTTGCTGATCACTGCATCGGACTTTAAGACTAATCACTTATGATTCTGTGGAGGATACATTAGAGGGGACAAGGCTGGACACAGGAGATTTCTTAGACAGTTATAGAAATAGTCCAGGGGGTGGCTTAAAGTTGAAAGGGAGAGGAAATTTTGAGAAATACGTAAGAAATAAGATTGTTCAGTTTGGTTGTGCAAGAGAAACAAAAAAGGAAAATTCCTCTTAACCATTAGTTAATACAGGCACAGTACCTAGGGCTTTCCACAGTCTATGAAAAGATATAAAATATGAAAAGAAAGGTTCATATTTGGCTCCAAAACACAGAAGGAAAACTGTAAAACAAGTTAATTTCAAAAGCAATTTTTTTTTTTTTGGTGGCTGGCTGGTATGGGGAACTGAACCTGTGACCTTGGTGTTATCAGTCAAAAGCAACTTATATTAAAAAAAACTGTACACAATTTTAACAGCAAAAATATATATATTTGATATGGAATATAGTAGTATAAAGTAAGGTGGGGGCCTCTAAATGAATGGTGCCAGGGCCTACATAAACATCTTAAAATAGACATAGGAGAAAAAAGAAAAACGATTTCCTGGTTTCTGTCTTGTGGAACTGACTGAATAATAGTGTCGCCAGCTAAAAAGGAAATATGACACAGTATACTTTGAAGGAAAAGTAATAAGTTTGATTTTGGACATAGATTGAGGTATCTATTGAGGAACTCGCATTCAAGGATTTATTCCTAATTTTAGAGTTCTTGATTAACACAATAAATGATTAATAAACACTGAAGGCTATAAGCAAGGCAAACTGGCTACCCCAAATGGATGCATTACATTAAAAACAAAACAAATTGATGTGAAATGGGAGAATCATCAGTTGAAATGGGAGTATCAGATAAGAATAATATATGTATCATTAAACTTCTATTTCATATTCTGCTTAACACTTCCCTGCCATACATCTAGTTTAAAACAAGGGTAATGTCAATCTTACTTCAGCACATAAATTACTCACAGTGCATATTCACAAATTCTTCTCTCTACACCACTATTGCCCCTTTTACTATTAGTTCTTTTCCAAGTAGCAATTTTATGGTGATTTTCAATAACAAAAGAAAGGCTGTATATCACTCAAGACCTATGCATTAAAAACACTCCCATCAATTTAATGTTCATCTGTTCTCCAATTTCTATCCTAAGATTTACTAGGCTGGAGTGGATGGGAAGTGATCATAAACTTACCAAATCATGAGTAGAAAGAGAGAGGGCAAGAGGACAGGAATGAGGAGGAGCTTGGAAGGTTTGGATGCTACTTTTCTCCAAACTGAATTTTTGGCCCTCAAGTATTTGCTAGTGTGAAAACTGTGTGACAGCCATGTTATAAGATGGGAGGTGATATGGTGTAATGGAAAGCACTTGAACTTTGCATGAGGCAAAACTGAATTCAAATTAAACTTTTAGAAATTTAATGTGATCTTGGAAAAAAGGAGTGAAACAGCAACAAAGGGGAAAGGAAGAAAGTGTTATGCAGATTTCTGTCTCTCATTTCACGCCACCTCCTTCTTCTTTATTCTGGTCCACTATCCTTTACATCAAGGCTTATTTACCCAAGACAATCAGATAACCAGACTATTTGGAAATGTGGTGGTACAGACTTCTAGAATTATTTTATAATTCTCTGTTAGAAGTAGAAAGATGAAGAAACCAACTTCAAGAAATTCTGTGATTTGCCCCAAATCAGTCTCCTAGTTCAATTAGTGGTAAAATGAATCGGTATTTTAATTGCCAGACCAGATTTTTTCCTCTGTATACCACAATTCAAACCTGAAAGACAATATAATTAAGTAATTGAAGGGGGATTTACACTTTATAATTTGCCATAAAAAGCCAATTTCCATAAACTCCTATGACAAGCTTTATTCTCCAAATATCCAATTGATCCAGAATTCTGTATGAAACAACACTGAAGTGTATTATTTTATTTATCAGAAAGATGAATATTATTAAATCTTCTGGACAGAAATAAGAGCAGTCCTTGTTCACTCACACAGACTTAAATAACTGGAGAAGGAGTTAGACATTAATATTAGTCCTAAGCACTAACATCATCTTTCTATTCTCTGTTTGTGGCTACCAAAAGAAATATCATTTCTTTGACCTCTTTCTTAGGAAGTTGCTACTTTTAAGTGTCTTCCAAAGAACAGATGAATGTATATGTGAATGAACAAAAGAAGGAATGAACAAAGATAATGAACATTATTCCAAGCCTTTGGAGAGGCAGCAATGCAGAGCAATTAAGAGCACAGACTATGAAGTCAAACTGTTTGCACAACATTACATCTGTGACCTTGGCCAAGTTACTCAACCTCTAGGTCCTCTATTTCCTCATCTATGGAGATAACAACAGTACATAGAGTTGTTATGAGGATCAAATGAGGTTAGAGGCCTGGTATTAGGTCAACCCAATGGATAAGCATGTTATTGTATTATTGTTCTTATTATTGGGTTATTATTGCAGGGTTACTGGAAATGTTTGTTTCTGGGCACTGTACCATAAGCCAAGAACTGCCAAAACACTAGGCAAAATTCAGTTGACAGGGAAAAGAAAAGAGCTCCCAAGAAAAGCTGCTTGAACCAAAAACCAATGTAGGAGAAATGACTAGGCTTTTTAGCTTATGAATTACAAAGATCTTTGTCTCAGTCCCTTCCCCTATTCAAGAAATAGATGGACGCCAACACAGCAAGGCAGACAGGAGAAAAGGGGTAAGGTAACATGGAAGGAAGCAGCTACAACAAAAATGCTTTAAAAGTTTTTCAATTCTTTTTTTTTTTTTTTTTTGTTCTTTTGTCTTTTTCCGTGTCCGGCAACGGATCGCAACCCTCAGTGTTGCCCCCGTACCGGACCGGGGACCGGCAACGGGATTGCAACCCTCGGTGCTGCTCCCGCGCCTCACTCAGCCAGCGAGCGGGAACCGGTCTGTATGTGGGATCCGAACCCTCCGGCGGGAGCGCCGCCGCGCTTCCCAAGCGGCACACTTATCCAGTGCGCCACCGGGCTGGCCCAAAAAAGTTTTTCAATTCTTAATTGCTGAGTGCTACCATTCATGAGGAATTTTTAAAGGATTTCAAAGCTATTAAAATGGTAATTAGGTCCCAGGAAAACAAGAACCAATTCAATTACATGCTGGATGCTTTTAAAATTTAAAGCCCTCTATTAAGAGGGTTTTAAATGAAGTGCATTTATAATTGCAGGTCCATGACCAACCTTAAAGCCAAAGTGTAGGTTCCTGGCTGACGCTGGCTCTCCCGAATGAGGTAGCTCCCCTCAGCCACACTCAAGAGCTGGTCGGCTACTCCCCTGGAGATCATGCCGTGAAACCTAAGAAACAAAGGCAATTCAGAAACTGCACGCTTTCCACATTTTCCAATAAACAACCTGCCCCACCCCCACCCACCTTCTGTTGTTTTCTAGACTAAGTACTGCCACATAATCAAAGGGAAGCACTTGGATTTAACTACGCTTGTGTTTCTCTGAGCCTGGCCTATGGCCAACTTCTCTGTGGTGGTAAGAAGAGCATCAAAGTAGCTATCCAATCCAGTTACCAATCACGAAATCAAAATGCACATCCATCTAAGGGAAGATCAACCACCTCTCTTGAGAGGACAATTCCCTTCTCATGTAGCCATTTGACCATATGGACTTGCTAAAAAATATACTGAAATGAGCCCCATTTCCTTTCTTCCAACTACTGGCAATGCTCCAAAATTTTGGCTCAGAGTCTATGTTGGCAATTTTCCAGGACCCTGGGTTGTCCTTAATTGGCATGATTGCCCAATAATGTGCATAATCTGCATTACTGAATACTCAAGCTAAAAGCAAACACTGTAATACTTGCTTTCACTCCCTGTTATCTTTGATTAACAAAGAAAACAGGAAGAAGAATAAACAAATACTACACTCTTTACACAAACACGGTAGATCCATATATAACATTCTCACATAAAATATTGAAAAAAAAAGTCAGTGGTGACATTTACATTAAAAATACAATACCACCTTAAATTTACATGGTGATTACAATTTATAAAGAACTTACACATATAACCTTTTAGTAACTCAAAGATAATGAAGGAATTCAGGACATGCCACCCCAAAATATGATGCATTGGTGAACCGATTATTTTGAGCTGAAGGCACCTGAAAAACAGCAAATGCAGGAAGAGGCTTTCTCTGAACTCCTCTTATCTACCTAAAGACAAATCCTTCACAAGGAACTCAACTGTTACCAATCCTCTCCTCAAGAGTTTCATCAGCCAGGGAAGATCGACTCTTATCACTGGATAAGAGACTAAAAGTCGACAACATTCCCAGATAAGTCTGTCATAAACTAGCATATCTCCCATCTAGTCTTCTAAAGGCCTATTCATCTTTCCTAAAAATCATTTACTCTCCCCTAAATGGCCTACATTTCCCCTTCCTTTCTTCCATTAAGATGGTATATAAGCTCTCAAATCTCACTGGTTTTTGGTTTTTCATTTTAGTTTTCCTGTGATGCCCCTGTGCATGTAATACTAAAAATTAATACATTTGTATACCTTGTCTCCTGTTAATCTGTCTGTTGTTAGTTTATTTCATAAACCCAGCTACCAAACCTAGGAGGGCAGAGGGAAAGTCTTTCCTCCCCTACAATAACTGCAATAACTACAATAATTGACCCATTGCTCAAAGAAACTTTGCAGCTTTTACTGGTACTAAAGAAACAATAGTCACTTGAATTTGGAATGATATATTTACAAGGCCCTAAAATGGCACCTTAATGATTTAGAAACTTTACTAGGACTCAGTAGCAACTTTCTGGAGTTTTTCCTCATGGAAATGGTTCAGTCTCTCTCAATTTAAGTCTTAAAACTGTTTTTTTTTTTTTTAAAGAAATTTATACCACTAAGCACCTGTGTTATTTTTATTTTTATTATTATTATTATTTTTTTTGTCTTTTGTCTTTTTTCCGTGTCCGGCAGCGGATCGCAACCCTCAGTGTTGCCCCCGTACCGGACCGGGGACCGGCAACGGGATCGCAAGCCTCGGCGTTGCTCCCGCGCCTCGCTCAGCCAGTGACACTCTGATCTGCTGGAAGCAAGAAGACGGTAACCTATCCCTCACAGTAACAGATACCATTAGATTAGCATACTGGTATAAATTTTAAGTTCACATGACATCAATTAATAAAGTAATTAACTTAAAATCAAACTCGAGAAAACAAATTATGGAACAAAACTTGGTGATAAAGTACTTTAAAATTATTCCTACCAATTCTACTCCCAGAATACCCTTATACACTAAGATGTTTCTGATGATGCTACCTTTTTTTTTTTTTTTCCTTTTTTTTGTCTTTTTTCATGTCCGGCAACTGATCGCAACCCTCAGTGTCGTGCCCATACCGGACCGGGACGGGCAACGGGATCGCAACCCTTGGTGTTGCGCCCGCACCTCGCTCAGCCAGTGAGCGGCCAGTCTGTATGTGGGATCCGAACCCTCGGCGGGAGCGCCACCGCACTCCCAAGCGGCGCACTGTAGCAGTGCGCCACCGGGCCGGCCCTGATGATGCTACTTTTAATAGTACAGTTTAAAAGCAACCTAACTGCCTAAAGCAGAAGAGTGACCATAGAAATTACTATACAACTGTAAAGAATATTAGAGGTTCTTAAGTTTGGAATAATCCTCCCCACAACTCATAAGTAGGTGCCTGAGATTCATTCCCAACTCTTGCAAACATACACAGAATTTTAAATAATTTTAAAATATTTGCTATATGTTATTGTTTATCTGATATGATCTCAAGTCATGAGAAACAAAGAATTTTACTTGGGAAATGATGGAATTATAGGTGATATTTATTCTTTTTCCCAAAGTGCTGTATTTCTGCTTTTCAGTAATCAGAAAAATAAGACTTTAAAAGGTAATACTTCAAATGGATGACACTAATAGTTTCTGGGAAGCATGTATTACTTGTTTTTCTGATAATAATGAGAATATATACTAAGAGAAAATTTGAAAAATAAAGAAAGGCTTAAATATAGAATAAATCATCCACATCCCATTGTATGTGTATATATATATATCTATTTGCCTAATACATACATACACACACAAACACATAGATATATATATTTTCCTCATGTACATCTAGGATTATTTATTTACTTATATGGCCTGCATCTTTAACATTATTGTGTATACACTTTCCCATGTCATTTTCTTCTTTATACTTGTCTTTATTTTCTATCTTTTCACCAATTAGAATAATTAAATTTGTAATTAAAAAAAAAGAAAATTTAACCCCCAAACTTGAATACATCCTTCATCTTGCTTTTATTTTTGCTAAAATCATCCATTTACCTGTCTCTTGTACATATGCCAATCTATAAAATATTTTCTGATAATCCATACTTACTCTCTTCCATAATACTTTGGTCTGTTTTCTACCTGTTGGGAAAGGAAAAAGCAGTATATTTGTGAAAATGCAAATGTACAGAATATAACTCAACATTGTGTGTATGTGACAAACTAACACATATATTAAGAAAAAAAGAATTAGAGTAAGAAAAAGTCTCAGTTCTACCAGCAGATTAATTGTGCCACTTGGAATGGTCGCTTCATCTCTCTAGATCTGTTTCTTACCTATGAAATGCTGTGTATGTAAAAAGAGTTGGACTAAACTATCTTTCAATTCCAGAATTTAATTGAAAAATATACTTACATCACTTTATTCAAAGAGTAAAATAAAACATCCAAAACCTTAATGCTATAATTGTGTCACAACAGATTGTGGCTTTCTTTCCCATCCTCCCCTACTTGTCCTATCCTTTCCTGTTACTCCATATTCTCCGTTCTGTTAACACCTTGATATAATCTTGCCCTTCTGTACCTCTATCAGCTCCTCTCACCACAGTTCATCTTTCCCTAGCTTTTCATGGCATGTGTGCTGGCTCTAGCTAAGGAAAGCCCCAGCAGAACAAATTCTGAGAAATTTTTCCTGGGAAGGACAATAAGATAGAAGGCATTTGCCCCATTCATTTAAGAAACATTTACTGAAGGCAAATATGTGATAGGCATTTTTCTATCTGCAGGGGACACGTCACTGAATAAGACCAAAATTGTCATAATTCTTTTGAAACTTACAGTCTAACGTTAAGAGACAGACATTTATTTTTCTGGGCAAAGTTCACCTTTTATTTTTCCTTTATAATCGGTAAATAAAAATTCCATGTATGTATATATATTATGTATATGTATATGGTATATAGCATGTTTTGATACATGTATACATTGTAGAATGGCTTAAAGAAGCTACTTAACACATGCATTACTTACCTCACACTTCTTTTTTTTGTGGTCAGAACATTTAAAATCCACTCTCAGAGATTTTCAAGTATGCAATACATTGTTATTAACTATAGTCACCATGTGGTATAATGGATCTCTTGAACTTATCCCTCCTGTCTGTAATTTTGTATCTTTTAACCAATAACTCCTCTCCCCACCCCCAGTCCGATAGCCACTATTCTACTCTGTTTCTAGGAGTTCAACTTTTTAAGATTATACATATAAGTTAGATCATGTGGTACTTGCCTTTCTGCGTCTGACTTATTTCAGGTTCATCCACGTTATTGCAAATGACAGGATTTCCTTTTTTTTAAAGGCTGTATTCAATTTGAAATATACAGTATTTCACTCATTGTACACTGAAATATAGTATTCTACTGTGTATATGTACCATATTTTCTTTATCCACTCATTCACTCATGGACACTTATGTTAATACCATGTCTTGGCTATTGTGAATAGTCCTGCAATGAACATGGGAGTGCAGATATCTCTTCGACATTCCGATTTCATTTCCTTTGGACATATACCCAGGAATGGGATTGCTGGATCATATGGTAGTGAAGAAACCAAGTATCAAAGAATTTTAAACAACTTGTTCAAGGTTACTTGTTTAGGTGGTGGAGCTCATGGTAAAAATGGGATTCCTATTCAGAAATAGCAAAAAGGGCCAAGCCCTCTGTCTATCTGACACTGACTTATTTGAATTAGGTTATATATAGCAGTTTCCAAAGCAATTCAAAGCCTATCTTTTCAGTGATCATCTCCCTTAGTTCTGTGCAAAGTCCGGTTGCCAAGTCTAGGCTGTCTACCCAATGGTCATCCAGACCTGGTACTGTTTTCAGTAAAGTAAATATATTTAGTCACAGCATAGGAAAAAATGTATTTCAACGTAAAACTATGGATCATCTATAGCAGACCCTACGGGCTTATCAGATTCTAGCCCAGTACATTACCTTCGAGATATTTTAGAACTCTCTAAGTTGTAGGTAACTGACAAGTAAACTATTTTCCTGAGTAATAGTGCTTTGACTTCTTCCCTACCCTACCAGTGAAAAAACTACTTTTGTCTCTATGTGCAATTCATCTCAATATTCCTCCACTCCATATAAATTTGTGCTGTTTTGACTTTTCCTTTCAAGTGATTATAACTTCTGCCTGGTTTTATGAACAAAATAAATTTTTAACACATGCTCATTTTCATGCCTGTGGGAGATTCATTTTACCTTTTCCTAAAAATTATCCTTAAATAATACTTTACCCTTCAGGAATCTTCTGTTGTCTGAGGCTATGGTAAGCTTATTTATTATCTTCCCAAGGTAAATTCCACCTGACTTGGTCTTGTTCCATAATTTCTGTGCTCATAGAACTCACTGTACTAAAAATATGTCAGTTGGCCCCTACAGCTACAGATGATGACTATTTTATTTTTAGGTCCAGGGCTTATAAAGTGGGATTGTGCATCTGCTTGAGAGCAAAACTTTTCTTTTCAGATGAAAATTCAATGTTTAGGTCTTAACTTAAAAAATTAATTTAAGTTTCTACAGTATTATAAGATAAAATGTTACTCAGAAGAACAACTTAGCAGTGTCTGATCAAACTAAAAATGTGCAAACATTCAGTATTTACTCTAGAGGAACATGTACACATGAAAACATGTATAAGAATGTCAACTTCAGCACTGTTTGCAGTTATTTTTTAAATGTAAACAACTTAAATATACACCAATAGGGAAATAACTAAACTGCTTCATAGTATAAATAATATGCACAGTTTGAAGGAATGATGTAGATCTATAGGGACTAATAATAAGAAAACACTAAGACAAATCACTAAATACTGCAGTGGATTGAATTGTGTCCCCCCAAAGTTTAAAGTGTTGAAAGCTGGGTCCCCACCGTGACAGTGTAAAGAGGGTGGGAAATCCTATTATGGTAATTGAAAGGTGGGGCCTTGAAAAGTTGATTAGATTCTGAAACCATGCCCTAATGAATGGATTCATAATGGTGGTCATGGGCATAACTCTGAGGGCTTTAAAAGAAAAGCACGTTTAAGAGGCTCTCTCTCTCTGCCTCCGCCATCTTGCAATGTGATACCCTGAGTCGCTGAAGCCACCACCACGGAAGACCCTCACCAGATGCGTTCCCCAGGCTTTTGGCTTCCCAGCTTCAGAAAACGGTAAGCAATAAATTTCATTTTCTTACAAATTACCCAGTTCCAAGTATTTTGTTATAAGCAACATAAATGGACTAATACAAATACAAACATAATATACACACAATACTATAATATATATTTATAGCATAGAAATCTGGAAGTATACATACCAAATTCAACAGCTGTCTCTAGGAAAATGGGGGAAAAATTGACTTGAGGGGGCCATGAGAAAGGCATAAAAGGGACTTTAATCTTATCTGTAATTTTAGAACTTTTAAAGAAGAATGTATTCATATATTAATTATATAGCTAAAATCATCTTTAAAAATAGATATCAAGATGAACTTCTACGGGCCGGTCCGTGGCTCACTCGGGAGAGTGTGGTGCTGAGAACACCAAGGCCCCGGGTTCGGATCCTATATAGGGATGGCCGGTTAGCTCACTGGTTGAGTGTGATGCTGACAACACCAAGTCAAGAGCTGAGATCCCCTTACCCGTCATCTTTTTATTTAAAAAAAAAAGATGAACTTCTATGTAATCTAACATCAAAGCCTCAGACACATTAGAATGGGGTCTTCCAACATTTTAAGAAGAGGAGAACATGGCCTTTCCCTCAAACCATGAGATCTTTGCAGGTGGTTAAATGTAAAATACAGCCAGTCCCAAACTTATAATGGTTTGACTTACATTTTTTTGACTTTACAATGGCTCACGTTCAGTAGAAACTATACATTTTGATCTTCTCCTGGGACAGCAACATGCAATATGATATTCCCATGTGCAATCAATGCTGGGGAAAGGCAGTGAGCAGCAGTTGCTGGCCACACCATCACGCGGGTCAACAATCCATATTTGCCAGATAATTTTGCCCAAACGTAGGCTAATGTACATGTCTGAGCACATTTAGGGTAGGCTAGGCTAAGTTATGATGTTTAGTAGGTTAGAAATATTAAATTCATTTTGACACGATATTTTCAACATATGAAGGGTTTATGGGGATGTAACCCTAGTGTAAGTTGAGGAACACCTGTACTTTATCAGGCTAATGGCTGAGGTTTTAGAAAGCAGAGTTTTTAAATACGCTCTACTCACTGATGAAAACCCTGGACAAGTACAGAGAAAAGTGGTGACAATAGAGAGACTGGTGGCTGCAAATGTTGTGGAAGTCTGTTACATTTTCCAATCCAAAATAAACACTGAGGTTTTATTCGATAGTCCAGCATTAAGTCCATAACATGCTTCTATGAAGTGCCTAAGTAATCATCTTCATAACACAATTAATTTTGGCCTTTTATTGCTAAATAATTATTTTGCTTTACCCAAAATAATTCTGAATTAAAAGAAATTAGGTAAACGCTGATGATTAATACAGTACTATAATAATAAGCAATATGTCCAAAATAAAATTCACATACCAATTCATATTTTGTATGTTTTTATAAAGGAAATGTTAAACAAAACTTGAATTTTAATTAATTCTTTTTCTTTATTGTTTAGATAATGAAGAGGACTAGAATATGCCACCCCAAAACATGTCACTTTGGCGTAAGGATTATTTTGAACTGAAGGCAATGAAGAAACATCAAACATAGGAGAACTCTTTGTCCTTCCCCTTTCTGCTAAAAGCAAGCAATAAATTTCCCTTTTGTAAAGGAAATTTCCATATGTAAAGATGTACTCGTCTCCCATATCAGGAATAAGAGACCAACTCCATAGATAAACTCTGATCACTGAAGGTAACAAACCTTACCAAGCAATCCTTAGTTACCAAACATTACCTTCCCACGAACAAGCCTAAACCCCTTTTCCTCTGTCTAGTCTTTTCTCCCACTTTATCACCCTTTGTTAAAGGGGTGCATAGGCCCCAAGCCTAACCACCTATTTGGGGTTTTCATTTCTTCTCTGTGAGTCCCTCCTTCCATGTGGATATGAAATAAACTTTT